GGTGGGCAAGGAGTGGCTGTTTAGGGGGCTAAAGATGGCCTGAGATAGATGGTAATTAGGCTCTGGACTTGCATCAGTCTAAACTCTCCACAATATTTGTGAGATAATCATTTGGTCAGCCTTGCAGGAAGTTCAGTCCAAGGTGTAGGAGTTCTTTTTGGGAACTTTTCTTTCACAAGTGTTAGCTTATTTCAGTTGTTTAACTGTATCTCTTGTAGCCCAGACTGACCTCAAACTTGCTGTAATAGCCAAGGATGCTCTTCACTTCCCAATCCTCTCGCCTCTACCTCCCACTTTTGTTGAGATTATAGGTGGTTTAACTTGAGATTCCAAACTGATACCCAAAATGATGGTACCATTTTACATTCCTACAAGTAATGTATAAAGTTTCCAATTTTAAATCTTTGCGAGTAATGGATAATATTTTGTAAAAAATGAAAAAAAATTGAAGTCCCATGAATATGTGTTTATGTGTATGTGTGTGTTTGTCCACACATAGCCTTGTCGCCATTAATTCTTGCTATACTTCGTTGTTTCTGTATATTTTAATTTTCTTTCTGTTTCATTTCCCTTTAGCCTGAAGGACTTCTTTAGGTATGTCATGTAGTTTAGATCTGGTAGTTAGTAATTCTATTTTGTTTATCTGGAAATGTCTTTATATTTTCTCCCCCCCCCCTTTTTTTTTTTCATGGTGCTGGAGATTGAACCCAGTATTGGTAGGTGCTAGGCAAGCCATCCAGCACAGAGCTATATCTTCATCCCTTGCTTTAATTTGTTTTTAGTAAATTTTTTAGAGTTAGCATACTAAGTGCCTTTACTTTTCATGAATTGTTTTTCTGAATATAGGCTTGAGTCACCTATGTGATGATATCAGTTACTAAGACAGAAGCAAATGAATGTGATAGTGAATTTAAGTTTTGGATATGTTTAAATTTGAATTGTCAAGGGGCCATCAAATAGCTCAGTGAGTAAAGTTCTATAAGCCTATGGACCCAAGTTTGATCCTGGAACCTGTATAATGGTGGAAGGAGAGACCTGTACTCCAAAAAGTTGTTCTCTCTCTCTCCCTCCCTCCCTCCCTCTCCCTCTCCCTCTTTCCCTCCCTTCCTCCCTTAATCACCAGAGTTTTAGAGCTCAGGAGAGAGATCTGGACTGGCAAGAAATAATTTGGATTATTCAACTTTGTAATTAAATGTGAGGGGTAGATGAATGAATACAGAGGTACGAAGTGAGAAAATACATGGATCACAAAGGAGAGTGTTCTGTTCCACTTCTTTCTACATACAGCAAAAAAACAGATGTCCAGAAATACAAGGAAGGCTGTTTGATTGAGATAGGCTCTTGAATAGCCCTAGCTGACTTTGAATTCTAATCATCCTGCCTCTTAAGTACTGGCATTGCTGGGTTGTGGTACCATGCTCTGCTCTAAGAAGAGCATTTAAAAAGGAGAGCCCTTTTACTAATACAAATATTATAGAAAGGACAAAGAATTAATAGAAAGCCATGATTGAGCATAAAAGATAATTTAACTTTGGCAAAAACAGTATGAAGGGCCTGAAGAAATGGCTCAGTGATTATGAGCATTGACTGTTCTTCAGAAGACCTGGGTATGGTTCCAGTGACATCTAAGAACTCCAGTTCCAAGGGATCTGATGCCCTCTTCTGGCCTCTGCAGATAACCAGACACACACATAGTAGACAAAACACTCATGCACATAAAAATAAAAATAAATAAAACAGCATGAATTAACTATGGAGCCAGGCAGATATCAAATTGCAGTTGTGTGTTGAAAAGCATAAATGATAGATTTACCAAAATGTAATGAGAAAAAGGGAATAACCTCAATAGGTTTGGGAAATAGTGTCCTTCTACCTTCATCCCTAGATAGGTTCTGGGGATCAAACTTCAGTCTTCAAATCATTAGGCTTGTTGGCAGGCATGTTTACCAGCTAAGACATCTCTCCAGCTGTGGAGTTAAATTTGAGGAAATGGGAGAGGAATGAAATCTAGGATACACATGTAATTATTAACCTTTGTCAGGAACATTGTATAACTTTGCTTCTTCCTGTTGACAAGATTGTTAGGATAAAATATCTCACAAACCCATAGTTTGGAGAAACACAATTTGTGGTTTCCATATAGTGAGATAGACAAATCATTCTTCATTTTTGTGTAGACCACTGGTTTCTTAAGCAATGGTAATTTTATTTTACTTACAATTTAAATTTGTTTACTTTCAATATTTGGATTCTTGAAACATAAAACTAAAGAAATTCAAAATAAGTGGCATTCTTAACCAGAAGTAGTAATAAACTAAAGTAGCAAAGTTGAATTATTAGATCAGTTTTCTGGTGGTTTGGGCACACCATGGTAAGAAATGCTATTTAATGTCCCATATTGTGTCTCACATATTCTAAAAAAACTTTTCAGGACTGGAAAGATAGCTCAGTGGTTAAGAGTACTGGGTACTCTTTCAGAGGACTAGGTTTGGTTTCCAGCACACACATTATGACTAGATCCTTAACTACAGTTCCAGGGGATCTGACTCCCTCTTCTGACCTCTTCGGGCTTTGCAGGTCATTGGTGCACTTATAGACATGCAGGCAAAACACTCATACACATAAAAATGCATAAATAAATACATAAATAAATAAAATTTTACTTTATTTGTATGTGTCAGTGCTTACATGTATGTATGTATATGACGTGTACCTGGTACCTGTAGAACTCTTAACCTTTGAGCCATCTCTCCAACCCCTGTGTACCACATCTTTATGTGCAAATGTTTGTTATTGTTTTACAACATAGTATTTGAATTTCCTGTTGTGTTCAAAATATATTGTCTGTAAATACAAAGGTATTCTATAAAATAATGTGAATAAAAAGTAAGATCACAATGTGACACAGAATGAGTGTTCAGTTCTTCCACAGGTTGTGACTGAAAAGAGGGCACTGATGAGTAAAAATTTTATACTTAGGAAGCTATGTTTATGGCCGTACTTAGTGGTAGAATACTTGCCCTAGTAAGCATGAGGCCTTGGGTTTAACCTCTAGCATGGAAAGAGACACACACCTAGATTATACCCCCTCCCTGAGTTCAGAGCTGATTTCAGTCAGTTAACAGTTATTAAAATATATTGATTGAGAGGATATATATGTATGTACCTAAGCATGTGTGCATGCACTAATAATGGTTATTGTGTGATCTTGGCACATCATTTGAGGTGGGAGGGTTAAAAAGAGGGGTGTTTGGCTTTAGCTTTAGGAAATATACCTGTTAGGCTAAGATTAGAGATCTTGGATTTTATTTTTCTCCCATTGTTTTTTTGGGGGACAGCAAGCAGTACATTAAAATAAATAGGGCAGCAAAACAGAACCTGTTTTGTTTTTTTGAGACTGGGTCTTACTTTGTAGCCCTAACTGGTCTGTAGACCAACTCACTATGTAGACCAGAGTGGCCTTAAATTCAAGAGATTTCATCTGCCTCTGCTTCACTAATGCTAGGACCATGCCCAGCCTAGAATTTACTTTTGTAGATGACGTATTAGAGGCATCTAACTTCCTTGTATATGATCTTATTTCTTCTGTTAATTTGAAATGTCATTATCACAAAGGTTTCATTTAGTCTTCATAGTAGTGGTTTGTTTTTTTTTGTGTTTTTTGTTTTTTTTTAATGGGAAGATTAAACTCTGGCCCTTACAGTTTGCTAGGGAACCCCACCCTACCACTGCCCTGAACCCCAGCCAAGTAGTAGCATGTTATATTATCTGGCATAATAAATGTCCTCTCCTCAACCATCACCACTTTCTTTCTCAAATGGTAATAATTTGTATATGTTAATTTTTTTTACTTTTTTTTTTTTCCCTCTCTCTGAGAAAAGGTTGCCCATTTTGCCTAGGCTGCTCTTGATCTTGTGAGCTCATGTGGTCCTCTTGTACTAGCCTCCTGAATAGCTGGAATCATAAGTCTGCACTAGTATGCCTGGTTTCCATTTTTCTTTTCTGATAACCTAAATCCATTTGTTAAAGTCAAAAGTTTTTTATATTATTGGGATTTTTAAATTATAATTTCATCAGATACATGTTAATAATGAGGCTAAATAGCTATTAAAGATGGGATTTTGTAGTTCTAATTTTTGGAATAGTCATTGAACATCTTATGTTTTGTTTCTGTGCTTATTTGATGAGAGTATAGGAAACTTAATGATGTTTTACACTTAGTAATTTTTTTTGATGTAGAAGAAAACAGAATTAGATTGAAAGTATGTACATCAGCGTGTGATAAGAATATTATGCTTTGTTAATAAGAAAAATGTATCACATTTTAACTTGCTTTTCATTTAAAAAATTTTTTATTTTTATTTGTATGAGTGTATGGCCTTCATTAAATGTAAGTGCACTCATGTCATGCAGTGCCCAGGAAGGTCAGAAGAGAACTGGAGTTAAGGATGATTGTTAGCCACTGTGTGAGTGTTGGGAACAGAACCTGGGTCTTCTTCAAAAGCAGCCAGTGCTCTTAACTGCTGAGGCATCTCTCCAGCCTCCTTAACTTGCTTTTCTTAGAGAATTTTGCTGTTACTGTTATTATTGTTGTTATTGAAAAATAGTTGTAATTCTTGAACTCTTTTAGAAAAATGCACTTCTTTCTATCTGGGTGTGGTAGCACATGCCTTTAATCCCAACAGAGGGAGGCAGAGGTAGGTGGATCTCAGAGTTCAAGGCCAACCTGGTTTACATAGTGAGCTCTAGACCAGCCCCACTACAGGGAGACCAAAAAAGTCCAAAAAAGAGAAAGATATACTTCTTTCAATAAGACAGGAAAAAAAGGAGACTAACTATGGGGTTCATTTCATTTATATGTAGAATTACCAAATATCAAATAAACTTAAATACATGTATTCTTAACCATTTAAAATTCTTAGAAATAAGTTGGGTTGTTAATAGCTTTTAAAGTTAAATTTGGGTTTAATAAGTGTATTTATGTGCTTATAATTTTTCAGTCATCATTGAATTTTGAAAAGCATTCTGAAAACTTTTCATGGACAGAGAATCGTTATGATGTGAGTCGCCGACGACACAACTCTTCAGATGGCTTTGATTCTGGTATTGGGCGTCCTAATGGAGGTAAATTGTGCTAAGGGATGATATAATTTCAGGACAGTTTTTTTCATAATGTTTTATAGGTTGTTTTGATTGCTTTCAAATCTTTAAGCATCACTGTCTTTGAATTTATATTACTTTACTGTTATCAAATAAAGGTAATTTTGGGAGGAAAGAAAAAAATGGATGGCGTACGCATGGCAGAAATGGTACTGAAAACATAAATCATCGAGGGGGATACCATGGTGGAAATTCCCGTTCTCGTAGCAGTATTTTCCATTCTGGAAAAAGCCAAGGACTACATGAAAACAGCATCCCTGACAATGACACTGGGAGGAAAGAAGACAAAAGAGAACGAAAACAGTTTGAGGCTGAGGATTTTGTAAGTTTCTTGTAATTTTAATACAAATGATGTTTCTGCAAGTTCCATTTTAGAATCAAGGCACTCCTAGGTGGTTTTATTAGTACAGGTCATTTTCTGTAGGGCTCATTCTTCACAGGTGGTTGTCCCGTTGTGGGTGTTTTGTTTTCGAGACAGGGTCTCATTGTGTCCTAGGCTGACCTGGAACTCTGTTTAGCTCAGGCTGACTTTGAACTCATGACAGTTCTTGAGCTGCTGCCTCCAAAGTGCTGGGATTAACAAAAGTCATCTTGCCTGGTTCTGTCTACTTGCCTTTTAAACATCATATTTTATAAGGAATTGTTTTTATTGCATTTTATTATTTTGTGTGTATGTTTGCATGCATGGGTGTGTGGCACAGTGCACTTACAGAGGTGATTGAATAACTTTTTTTCTTTTGGAGACAAGGTCTCACTGTAGCCTTGGCTGGCCTGTATAACTCAGCGTGACCTGAGACTCAGAGATCCCTCTGCCTCTTCCTCCCCAGTGCTGGGATTTAAGGTGTGTGCTACCACACCTGGCTCTCAGAGCATAACTGGTTCTCTCCTTGCATCCTGTGGTTCTTAGTAATTGAACTCAGGTCATCAGACTTGATGGCCAGTACCTTTACCCAATGAGCCATCTCATTGTCTCCTTGTAAGGGATTTTTCTGTGCATCACCTCCTTCTTAAGCCAAGTGTCTCCCTCCTTATCCCTGTTCCAGAGTCATACCATGGGTTGTTTTTGTTTGATTTTTTTTTTGTAGCACTTTTGGTTTATTTATGTTGTTTTTATTCCTTGTAGAATACTGGATGATTTCCCTTAAAAGTAATAGCTGGGCTTAGTGGCTTATTTGCAACTGCTTCATTTATATATTTAAATCAAGCTTCTGGAAAAAAAGTATTTTACTAATACATTGATTGATTGAGAAGCATCTTACTATGGTGCCCAGACTCGTCTTGAACTTACGGGCTTAGGTGTTCCTCCTGCCTCAGCCTCCTGAGCAGCTGAGGTTACAGGCACGTATAACTATTCCCTACTTCAGTATTATATTTAGATTGTCATTTTTTAAAAAAATTTACTTTTTAGCAAATATACTTACTATTTTCTTACTGGTTTCAGAACTCAAACAAGGACCTAGTCCATCCTAAGCCAGCTATCTTATCAGTCTCCAGCCCTAGATCATTGATTTTTAAATAGGTTAGAACAACACAGAACAATGCATGACTCTTAAGCCTTCCATATTTTGAAGTAGTGTTTCAATTCAGAGATTTCTTAGTGGTCAGAGAATTGTTATCCTAGTTCAAATGAGACTAAGAATGAAAATAAGTATGAGTTAATGAAAATAAAATTTTCATCTTTTCCTAATCTCAATGTGTATAACACTGTGCTGTTTTTGTTTGTTTGTTTGTTTGTTTTTTTTTGCTGCTGTTGTTGTTTTCCTCATTTCTTTTTTTCTTGAGACAGTCTCACTATACATCCCTGGCTGAGCTCAGGCTGGCACAGAACTCACATTAAAGATCCCTCTGCCATGCTGGGATTAGAGGCTTGTGCCACTACACTCAGCTCGTCACTCTGCTTCCTAAGTTAAAGAAAAAGTGAGCTAATGTACAGTTTTACTTTGCTTTTATAGCCTAGGGTAGCTTTGAACTACTGATCTCTTGCCTTTTAGTTCAAAAGTGCTGGAATTATGGCTATGTACCACTGTTCTTGGCTCGATTCATTCTTTTCTTTTCTTTTTTTTTTTTTTAATTTGTTTTAAAAAAGGGTCTCCCTCTAGCCCCAGCTGGCCTGGAACTTGCTATGCAGACCAGGGTGGCCTCATAGAGATCTGCCTGCCTCTGCCTCTCAAGTGCTAGGATTAAGGTGTGTACCACCATGACCAGCTATAATTCCTGTGTTTTTTAAAAATTTGTTTTAATTTTATGTGTGTATTTTGCATACATGTAAGTGTACCACATGCATGCAGTACCTACGGAGACCAGAAGAGGGTATTGGAATGAATCCCTTTAACTAGAGTTATGAATGGATGTGAACCACCATGTGGGTGCTGGGAGCTGAACCCAGGTCCTCTAACACTGAGACATCCGCCAAGCCGTTATGATTCAATTGTGATAATTTAAAATTCATGTTATATAGGTAAAGAGATGAGCACTTCGTATATTCTTAGTAATTTTTACTATATATCTGAGTGGTTATATTAGTTGTCAGTAATGACAGGTGGAGTCCTTGGTCTCACTGAGTTTCTATGCTAATGAGACCGTTCAAAGCATAAAATGAAAATGTAACTCCCGTTTTGCAGAGAATTTAAACAGGAAGTGACTGGGTAGCCACTTTGGTTAGGGAATTCAAGAGAATTCTATAGCATATTTAATGTGAGACTTAATTGATATGAAGGAATAAGCTTTGTCAACACCGAGTGTAGATCAGTGGTAGAACATGTGTTTATTAGCATATATGAAGCCCTGGGTTCAGTCCATAGCATCGCAAGAACTAAATCAGAACAAACGAGGGAGAAAGAAGGAATGAGTCTAGTGCAAAGGATTTTACTTTTAAACTATACCAGTTGTAAGAGAATGAATAGACTATAACAGTAGAAGGAAGATTAGTGACAAACCAAAAATTAGTATAGGAGAAACTGATGGTTTCAGTTGGTTAGCTTAGATAAAGGAAGAGAAAGTTTTTTGATATAATTTAGAAGTCATTTAGAATCCAGTAAATTTTTAAAAAGTCATTTAGATAGTTTAAGGGAAAGAATTTGGTAGATTAGATTTAGGGCAGGGAAATGGTTAGGGAATATGAAGTATAAATTGCTAGTTTGAGGGGCTGGAGAGATGGCTCAGCAGTTAAGAGCACTGACTACTCTTGCAGAGGACCCGGGTTTGATTTACCAGCACCCACATGGCGGCCACGAACCATCCTTAACTCCAGTTCCAGGGGAATCCGAAGCCCTCTTCTCACCTCCACAGCATTGCACGACACATGTGCGCTCATATACATTACATACATGCAGGCAGTACACTTGTACACATAAAATAATAATAACAAAATATTTTTTAAAAATTGCCAGTTTGAGGTCTTATTATCAAGTAGTTTTGGAAATGCCTGTGCCTTAACATTTGAATAATCTACGTTGTCCACTCGATTGTCACTATAAAATTTAACTTTTAAAATCAAATTGGGGATAATAGTGTTCTCATGGTAGTGAGTGTTAAATGAATAGCAGATTAAACAATGCATGACACATAGGAAGTTCTTAATAAAAACTATTTGGTGCTTTTGTTATTGTCCCCACCTCCATTCCTAAGGTAGTGGAAATCAGTGATTATAATCTTAGACCTGGAATATAGACATAGAGTATAGTTTACAATAGTTTATTTAATAAGAATAGTATAATTAAGAAATGTTTACATAGCCACCAAAAAAATCTTAATCCTATGGAGCTGTATCTGTGAAGTAATGACTTGTACTGATAATACATATACACTGTTCTGGGGTTTTTTAGTATCAGTTCAATGCTAGTAATAATTCACTTTGGTTCATCATTAAGATATTTGTATTTGGATTAATTTTATTCAACATAAGTATTTTTTATTTTCCTTAAGCAAAGCAGGCTGTGTTGCTACTTTATAGGAAAAATAACCTGGTCAATGCTGTAAGTCTTAGGAATCTAGGGAAGAAATGTCAACAAGATAAGCTTTAGAGTACCCATTAATGCTATCTCTTGAATAATCCTGAGCATCCCTTAGAACGTGTGTGTGTGTGTGTGTGTGTTTGTGTGTGTTTGTGTGTGTGTGTGTTGGATAGAGTGTGTCTGTGCAAGCTACAGAAGAATTTGTTGTAGCACACAGTCTTAATTTAGTTTGTTTTTTGTTTGTTTTTTGTTTTTAAAGTGAACCAGGCTCTCATGTTGCCTAGCCCAGTTTGGCAGCAATCTTAACCATATAACTGAAATGGCACTCTCAGTCCTCCTGCCTCATCCTCCTGAGTTCTGGGAGAAAATGAGTGTGTTAACAGAAGTAGTCCACTGATACATAAACATACTCTAGAATTGGAAGATAGTATAATTTCCTCTCCTTTGGTGTAAACTGGGAAAGGACATTGTACCTCAGACCGGGATTCTCTTTTGCTTGGTGCTGTCATGCCCAGGGTGGCCTTGAATTCCTTGACTAAAGCCACTGTTTCCTATCCTCAGCTTCTCAAATAGCTGGTACTACAGGGGCTAGTAGACCCCTTGACTCTGTGGACTTTTGTTGTTTTTTTTCTTTTTACTGAATGTTGAACTCATGGCCTCCTATTTGTTTGGCTAGCACTCTACCACTAAACTTAAGCTACATTCCTTACCTTTGTGTATGTGTCCTCCATGCTACTCAAACTTTCCTCAGATAGTTAAGGATGAAGATGAAGATTGTCTTTGTTTCCAACTAGCAGTGAGTATAAACACTCAGCATTGTAATGGTTAGCAGAGTAAGCCGAAAGTGAAGTTTATGAATATTAGTCATTATAGCTGAGTTGATCATACCATATTCTTCATTTATAAGATATATAATCATGTGATTGTTTTTAAAGACTTGAGTTGTAAAACACGTAGTTTGTTACATTTTAAAATTCAACTTTCTTTCAGCCATCTTTAAATCCTGAATATGAAAGAGAACCAAATCAGAATAAATCTTTAGCTGCAGGTGTTTGGGGTAAGTGACTTTTTAATCTATTTTTAAGGGACAGAAAATGTTGATACCTGAAGTTTCCTTTTTAAAAAATATAAAGTAGGAGAGAATAACGCTTTCTCTCTTTTAATAATTGCTTTTGATGTATTTTACTACTGAAAGTAATAACCTTTAAAAGGAAGAGATTTGGGGTATGTTTACTTTGAAATACTTGATTTGCACATTAGTGACATTAAATGTACCCAATTTGATTTTTCTTTTGAAATGATTCTAGGTTAATTGAATTTTGAAGGTAGCCTGATAATCTCAAAATACCTGAAAATTTAGGCCAAATTTTTAGTTTGTTTTATCATTGAAATTTTAGTTAACTAGAAAAATAAGTATTTGTAGTCATATTGCAATATGAAATTAGTCTTTTTACATATGACAGTGTTTGTACATAGACTGTTAAAATAATTGTTTAGATTTACCTATGACTTAATATTTGAAATTTCTTGCTTTTTCAAAGCTTAATGAGAGTGTCTAGTGAATTATTCCCTTTTCTTTAAAACTGCTGAGAGTTTAATTTGATATCATCTTATAGAATAAACTGTACTCATAATACAAATTAAGAGATTTTAAAAGATTCAAGTGAAGTTTAAAATAATGGAAAATTTTATAAAATAAAATTTTACAAGATTTGACATCTGAAAAATAAGCTTGAACTTGATATGAAATTCAAAGTGCTCTATCCACTTTGAAACTTGTACACATACTCATTTGTAATTTTTAAAATTGAAAACAACCTATGAAAACAAAAGGATTGTGGCTTATGTTAACATACTAGTCCTAACAATAAAGGCATTATTTTAAACTTTGCCCCGTCTTATGATGGTCTTATTTGTATTTATGGGGTGAAACTTGGGAATTATTTTGTTTTCTTTTGAATCTCCCTCTTTATTTAATGGCTTTTTGAGGGTGGGGGAGGGGGTGGTCAGGCACTTTTATTAGAACCATGTAAATGGCATTGTTTTTTCTGTATTGCAAATTAGTATTTCTACCACTCTCCCCAGGCCTACACGCCCAGACACACACATACCCAACCAAAAAAATCTCCCAAGCTCCTCTCTTAGGTATGTTTCCTTATTATTCAGTTTTTCTGGGAACAGCTGATTGCATAAGAATATAGAATCACCTGAAAGGTGTTAAATAGAATCTCTAAGAAATTAGGAATAGTTTGGATTTTAGTAGAATGAAAGTAAACTTAAAAAAAAAAAAAAATCAAGAATGTCAGTGAGCATTTGTCATATAAAACTATAAGATACTATTGGTACTTATCCGTGGTTGATTTAATATGAGAAATGATTTGACTCAAAAATCTCAGAAATGATTTATAGGCAGAGGCATTTTTGGAAACGAGACTAAAATGTATTAATATAAAAATTTTGGTTTTGCTAGTTGAAAAGATGTTTAAATGGGAAGTGAACTCTTATGTGTTTAGTTAAACTGAGATGTGTTTCTGCATTAGAAATTAAAAAGAAAAAGAAACGGTTAATTGTGGAATGGCTAATTGTTAAATTTCCAGTACTTCCCATAGGAATACAATGAAACTTCATTGTAGCACACTTCACTATTCCTTTCTCATTTTACCCCCCTGGGTTCCCAAGTATGCTTTTCCTCATTGCAACATTTAGAATAGCTATGTTCCTGAGGAAGATGAGAGAATTTTAGGAAAGACTTCAATAGAACTTTTCTAGTGATACTTCTTTCCAGGTAAGCAAAAATTTACTAACAAAAATATAGTATGTTTATGAAAGAAGAAAACAATTTGTTCCCCAAACTATGACTTTGTTGATCATAAATTGGCCTATTCTTAACATAATACCCCAATTAAAAAAATAACTTCCAGAAAAGAAATTAAGCCATTTAAAATAAAGTTACAAAGGTTCAATTCTAGTTAGAATTCAGGATTTAGTTAACTTTATTGGAAACATCTTGATCTAAGCATATACTTTGTTAGTGTTTTTGTTTTAAACAGGATTATAGCTGTTTATACAAATGATTAGTGATCATTAATCTCTCTCCATGTTCTTAATAATATGTCTTAAATAGGAATTCAAGGTACTTCAATGTGTCATTGAGAATTTTAAAATGTTTGTGTTACTCAGTTACTTGGAGGCTAAGGAACAGAGAGAGAGATGAGTTTATATGTAAGCTGTTTGGGATGCAGTTAGTGGCTAGTCACATGTAAACTTTCAGAAGTCCTATTGGATGATGTTAGCAGCATATTATTGGTAGAACTTAAAACATGTAGTGCTTAAGATATGATGTAATGAAAACAATGCAGTCACTGAATTTATTAATGTAGTCTTTGGTTCCACATTTCTGTTTGTGTGTATTCTTTGATAATATGATGGTCTGCCCTGGTTTTTCCTCATATCTGGTACAGTATAAGCATAAAGGTTCATTACTAATATGTTTTGTTTAACCTTCTAAACCAAAGCAAATTAGTGACCAGCTTCAAAAAGAAAAGGAAAAAAACAAACAAACTTGACAACTCCAATATTACTGGCCCAAAACATACATATATAGAGAGAGACATAATTGCATTATACAATAAAGTAAATGATAGTAAAAATCAGTGAGGTTCTTTTGAGAAACCCTGATAATTAAAATTAGAGAAAGGGATGGGCAGCCTGACAATATTGATGTGTCATTTTGCTTGGGTATTTAAATTCCTTTAATATCTACCTTATTATCTTACGTAAATTTAACAGTGAAGTTTACGTGATTAAAAATAGTGCAGATCAAAACACGTTTGTTAAATAGGAACATTCAAACCCAGCAAAATACAGTGTCAGTCTTTCTAGAAATAATCTTCTAAAAAGAGATTTATTTTTGTGTGTGTATGTTGTGTGTCTGTGTCTGTGTGTATATGGATGTATGTATGTGCAGGTGGCTGCAGAGGTCAAAGCTGTCAGATACCCCAGGAACTGAAGTTGGAGGTGACTGTGATCTGCCTGATAGGGGTGCTGGGACCTGAACTCCAGCCCTCTGCAAGAACAGTATGGGCTCTTAAATCATTGAGTCATCTCTAGCCGCAAGAAATAATCTTTTAGCAGTTGGTTTTCATCTGTTAAACTTAGTATCCACAATAGAAAGTTGTTTTAATTACTTGATGTAGAATTTTTGAACCTGATTTATGGGTATTAAGAAGCTTTAAAATTGATTTAAATGCTATTAAGTTGAATGCTATTTACTTTTCATTTGTATACTTTTATGCATTTTATTCAGTGAAATTGACTCTTCTGTTAAGATAGGAATCTAAAGTAGTAAATGGGGTATGGTAGCCCTGGCCCAGTTTGGAAATATACTATAAGCTGTTGCTTTTTTGTTGTTTATTTCTGTTTGTTTTTTGAGACAGGATCTCCCTGTAGCCCCAGCTGATCTGAAGCTCACTGTGTAGACCAGGCTGGCCTGAATCTCCCAGAGATCCAACTGCCTCTGCTTCCCAAGTGCTGGTATTAAAGGTGTATGCCACCATGCCCGGCAACTAGAAACTGCTTCTCTGGTTCATTCAGATAGTATTTTTAGTTGGGGATGTTAAACATTTTGATAATAACTGACATAGGAATATCTTGGTTTCCATTTTTTCCAGAAATATAGAAGTTAAAATTACTGACTTTGGAATCAGCTAAATCTAGACACCAGTAATTAGAATTTTTACTTATTGGTTATTTAGATTTGAAAGAGATAGCTTTTAATATTTGAGTGAATTTCCTTCTCAAAAAATGAAAATGATCACAAAAGTATTAATGAGAAAAGTATTGCTTTTGTCTGTTATTCAGAAACCTTTATCATGCCAAAAGGTGTTTAGTCAGTGTCAGGTAATTGTTTTGATCACATCCAGTAAGTGAAAGGTAGTCTAGTTTTAGATTTATTAAAAGGCAAAAAATGAGGTTTGTGGATTTTATGCTAAAGAAAGTAGTGCTTAATGTAGTGTTAGATTGTGTATAGTATGGAAAATATAATGAAAGAAAAGATATTGAAGCAATGAATTGAGATGTCAGTTTTGTAGCCCATGTTAACTTCAAACTCTGAATCTTCCTGTCTCTGCTTCCTGACTCTAGTGTAGCAGTCTTCTAATTTGCCTTCTGAAGAATTGAGCCAGTTCCCCCTTACTATTGACTTTGTATTTAAGAAATAAAACACATTGTATGTTCATGACAAGAAAGTGATAAAGTCACTTACTAGAAGATTATAGTTATTTAGAGGAATAGAAGGAAATAATTTAAAAATCTAAAATTCATATTTACTTTCAGAATTCTTGAGCTTAAATTTGAATCTGAGACTACCTGTAACATGAGTTTGAGGTAATTAGCAACTTAGAGAAGGACATCACTGAAATAAGTTACTTTCTTTATCTAGGTGCTAAAGTTTATCATTAGTATATAAACTTATCTTTAAAAGAATAAGTACTTTTGGGGACTGGAGAAGTGGCTCAGTGTTTAAGAGTACTGGCTGCTCTTGCAGAGGCCATGTGTTCCTGTTCCATCATCCTCATGGTGGCTAATAACCAACCCTAACTCCAATTCCAGGGGATTTGTTGCCCCCTGCTGGCCTCCATGAGAATTGCATGCACATGGGAGACTTAAATATGTTGGCAAAACACAATGAATCCAAAAAAAATTTTTTTAAAGAAATATTTTGGGTTTTCATTAAATTTAATACTTGACCATTACATAAGCTAATATTTGAATCTAAAAGCTCATATACCTGGAAAATTGTGAAATAATTTGAAAATAAACTGTAGAAACAAATAATAAAACAGTATAAAATGAATGTAAATGATACAAATTAAATTATGCCTGTTGTGTCTTCCTTTACTTATAGGCAATCGCCATTGGTCAAGCTTCCTCCTCCCTTTGGGAGTATTTGACACAGGGTCTCACCCTTTAGGCTGAGTTGGCCTTAGAATTGCTCATGGAGGACAGAGGAGGATGTTAGGTGTCCTGTTCTGTTATTCTCTAAATTATTCTGTTTAAACAGGGTCTCTCAATGAACCTGGAGCAAATCTGGAGGCCAGTAAGCTCCAGTGATCCTCCTGTCTCTGTTCCCCACAATGCTGGGATTATAAGCACATACCAGCTTTTACATAGGTGCGAGGGATTTTTTTTTTAAATTTTTTTGTATGTGAGTGCACCCATGTCGTGCAACGCCTCAGAGGTCAGAAGAGGGCTTCAGATTCCCCTGGAACTGGAGTTAAGGACGGTCTGTAGCCACCATGTGGGTGCTGGGAATCGAACCCAGGTCCTCTGCAAGAGCAGTCAGTGCTCTTAACTGCTGAACTATCTCTGCAGCCCCGGTGCTAGGGATTTGAACTTGAGTCCTAATACTTTGGTAACAAGCACTGTTAACCACTGAGCCATCTCCCCAGCCTCTAAGAAAACTTTATTTTACAAAAAGTTACATTTGTTTGTTAAATTGATTATGTACTTATGTGTGCACTCACACTGTCACCTGTGTGTAAAGGTCAGAGGACAATTTTTGGGAGTTGGTTCTTTCCTTCCACCATGTGGGTCCCAGCATTGAACTCAGGTTGTCAGACTTGGTATCAAGTGTCCTTATTCATTGACCCATCTTGCCAGCCACAAGAAAACTTTTTTAAATGGGCAAATTTCTGTAGTTTATTCAGAATAGTTATATAGGATATAGACAGATCTTTTTATGTTTTATAGTTTTTTCTCATTTTCTTTGTTCTTATATGTTAGTCTAAAATTCCTGAAATCGTACCTTTCTAAATTGTTAATGTTTGGAAGATAGCATGCCTTTTCTCTTATTTCGTACAAGTTATTTAAACCTTAAACAATTTAAAGTGATCCTGAGACCGGGCTACTTTATATTTTACAGATGAAAAATTAACTTCTATGAAGTTATACAATAAATTAAATTAGAGATATTTGGATCCAGTATTCAGAATTTGATAATCATGTACAAAATCATTTTCTGTGTCATGATATTTAAATATGAATGATTAAAACTAGCACAACAATACTATATCTGCCTCTTCTTGCTCTAATTCCCTGTCATCTTTCTTTGAGTACTTTTGTCATCTCTTTGCTACTTATTTTTCTGCAAGTGATTTCTTAGGCTTCACCTTTCTTTATAGGATAGTCCATCATTCTTTGCACTGAGGACCTTTTGAAGAAACAGCCAAAATATTTATTGTTCCAAGGAGTCCAGTTTTAGGAAAGGTGAAATTTCTAGTCAGATCATTTTAGGCTTGAATATAATGAATGCTTGTTTATCTATTCTGTATCCCTTCTGCCTCCTGTTAGTCTTACTCCCTCCCACTTTACTTTGGACATAAAGTCTCAATATGTAATCCAGCTTGGCCTGAAACTTCTAACCCACTTCAACCTCCCGGATCCAGGATTTATAGGCCTGTGCCATAATACCTTCTTGCTTCTACTTTTAATCAGTGATTATGATTATTTGTGTCTAAAAATGGTATTACTTGTTTTTATATCCTTCATGTGAAATCATTTCTTTCTGCTTAAACACATAGGATTTTCTCAGTGAATTGTTTCAAAAAAATTATTTTCTTCCCTCCACCATATCTGACACTTTCAAGCCCCCAACCTTTGATATTTCAGAGTGGTTTTGAAGAGCCCTTCAGCTGTTACTAGATTACTCTTCATCTTTGTGTCATTCTAAACTGAAACTTTCTTCTTCACGTCTTCATCTAGGAATGTGTGGTGATCATTACTTTGTTGATAACCCTTCTTCTACACAGTTTATTTGGTTTCTTTCCTCATTATAGTAACTTTAATGTAAGAATCTATAAACGAAGAAAGATGGACTTAGATGTTTAGTTAGCTACATTGAACAAGAAGTTATCATTGTGATATCATAATTGAAATGTCTCAGTTTCAAAGCCTGAAGTATGAGATAATACTTTCAAAGTCATTACCGTTTGTTTTGTTCTTGTGGGCTGCAACTCCAATTCCTTGGTTTTAGATTTCTTTAATTTAGATTTTAAATTTTAGACTAAGATACTGTCACTACCTAGACTAAGATACTGTCAAGACTACCTCTCCCCCTCTTTTGATATGGAGTCTTCTTACTATGATGATGCCCAGGTCAGTCTGGTTCTCCTAGTCTCAAGCAGTTCTTACCATTTCATCCTCTTAAGTGCTGTCACTACAGGTGTGTGTCACCATGCCAAGCTTCCAGAACCTTGAATCGAAGAATGAAGTAGGGTGTTCCTTTTGGTTCCTTTTGGGGCCTCAGACTTGTCATCTTCTTGCCTTAGCTTCCATATCCAACTAAAGACTTTATTTTTAGTAGTATATTCACACTATTATCATCTTTTTGTCAAAAGTAATCATTGTAAAAATTTAGTATAATTTCTTCTTATTCATTCTCTAAGGTCTTCATTCCTATTTTTTGTTTTCTTCATTGTGTAATAGTTTCAGGGAATAGTATACATTGGTGATAACTTTTCTGTGTCCTTGTGTGCTTGAAGATGGTTTGCCCCCACCCCCCAAGCTATTACACCTTTTTAGGTAGCTAGAACACATGGAATGGTTGCCCTAGTAATTCAGTATGTATGTAATTTTTACTAAGATAAACCTTTTTTCATTTGTTCTAAGCCCTTATTCATCTATCACAGTAGTAGATCATCCCTCTGTCCCCCCGACCCCTGCTCCATTATCAGTTTTATCTTTTGGAGAGTTTGAAGTTTCAGATGAACTTAAAGTCTTTCTAGTTTCTCCATAGGACTCCTTATAGTTTTCTTGGGATGAAGCAGTAGAAGTTTGTAGTTTTAGGGCAGGGTATCACCATAAATATATACCCAGATAATCAATTCATAAAATACACTATGAATATTCTGAGCTAATTTAATTTAGACTTCATTCTCTGAAATTTTTGTCTGAGTTACCTATTCTGAACTGTCTACCAGTGAAACTGAAGCTTTCAGAAGTTTTGTAAGAGATGAAAGATACACTTGACTATGATAATTTTGTGTACGTATACTATGTCTTTGATTACACATGTAAAACTGATTAAATTATAGGAAGAGTTTTTCAAACTTTCAAACAGATGCCTTGAGAAAAGTATACATTTACTAGTTATTCCTAGTACTGTCTTTAGAAAACAGAATTGATTTGGTTGCCCTGATCTCAAATGATATCTTAATTATAATTAGATGGTAATCTAGTAGACATTTACAAATATTTGGACTGTGGGCCCTTCTTTGCTCACAGATTATAATGTTGTAAGTAGAATGAAAAGATTGGAAAAAAAAGGAAATTTGACTTTTTTAGAATAGGTAAGGAGAAAATAGAAATGCCTTTTATATTGTAAGCATTAACTCATTAGGATGAAATCTGCAGAATTTTAAAATTAGTAAATCAAAAATGTAGTATAAACTTTAATCTTGGTTTTATGGTTACGTCTACCTATATTCACCTGTATCACTAGACAATTGCCCAATTTTTGTTATGTTTCATAAGATTATGTTTTAGCCCCCTCCCCACAAAATGGAATATCGTTTGTGCTTATTTAGCTTAATTATTATTACTATTTTTTTTTCCAAGAACTAGCTGCTACTTTATGCTTAGGTAGGTTAATTTTTATTTAATTTTGAAATTCTGTATAACACTTGTTTGTCCTTTATTTATGCAGAATATCCCCCGAATCCTAAATCTAGAGCTCCAAGAATGCTGGTCATTAAGAAAGGTAATGCAAAAGACTTACAACTATCTGGATTCCCAGTAGCAGGAAACCTCCAGTCACAGCCAGTTAAGAATGGAACTGGTCCAAGTGTTTATAAAGGCTTAGTCCCAAAACCTGCTGCTCCACCTACGAAAGTAAGTTCTCAGTTGTTACAGAAACAGCTTTTTGGATGTCCCATTTGTGAATGGGCACTCCATAGTCACTTATTCTCTGCATTTTAACCAGTAATAGTCTCCATATGCTACAAAAAGAAGTTTCTGTAATGTGTAGAATAATCATAGAAGAAAAAGACATGAATTTGAGAGGGAGATGTAGGGGCAAAAGGAGGAGTTTGAGGGGGAAGGTGAATATGATGAGAATACATTGTATTATGTATAAAATCTAAGAAAGCAAATTTTGAATTGACATTAAAAATAGTTTTAACTTACTCTTTTAATGTATGAGTGTTGGGTCTGTATGTATGTAAGTGCACCATGTGCGTACCTGGTGCCCAGGGAGGCCAGAAGAAAGTGTTGAATCTCCTGAAATTGGACTTAGGGATGGGTGTTAGCTGCTATGTGGGTGCTGGGAACTGAACCCAGGTCTTCTGTAAGAGCAGGTAGTGTCTTTAACCACTGAGCCTTTGCCAACTGGAATTGACATTTAGTTATTTGGGGGAATTTTTTTAAACTTTTATATATTGTGTGGGATATTACTAAGGTACTGACTTAGAAATCATTGGCCTACTATGTACTGTTTATATAATTTCTGTTCTACTAAATGGACTAGGGCTGTTTGCTTAGTATATGGATTATACTAACTTGGTGCTCGGTTAAGTTTTTGAAATGTTCGTAAGGTTTTCTTGGGGGAAAAGTTTTGAAAATAATAGTGATTTAGTTTTTTAAAACCACTTTTTTCTTTTTCCTTTTTTTTTTTTTTTTCCTTTTTGGTCTTTTTGGTCTTTTTGAGACAGGGGACAGGGTCTCCCTGTAGCCCCAGTTGGCCTGGAACTCACAGAGATCTGCCTGCCTCTGCCTCCCAAGTGCTGGGACTACAAGCGTGCGCCACCACACCTGGCTGATTTAGATGTTTTTTATTGAATTTTAAACTTTGATTTTACTTGAAGAAAAAGATAGAAAGAGCCACATGTGGTGGCTCACACCTGGAATCCCAGCACTGTGAGATTGGGAGTTCTAGGGTAGTTTGGGGACTACAAGAGAAACAGTGTCTCTATAAAACAATAATAAAAAGCAGGAGGAACAGAGAACCATGTAGGAATGATGTAGTAGTATAACAATAATTGAACCAAATGTACTCGTCTTTTATTGTGTTCTCTTCTCTATTTTCTAAAATTTGGTAACTTAATCTTTGTCTTTTTCTTTAGCCTACACAATGGAAAAGCCAAACTAAAGAAAATAAAGTCGGAACTTCTTTTCCTCATGAATCTACATATGGTGTTGGCAACTTTAATACCTTTAAGTCAACAGCCAAGAATATCAGTCCATCAACAAATTCAGTAAAAGAGGTATGATATTTAACATTCCTTGAAGAATGTTATGTGTTTTAAAGTAAAAGACAGGGTCTTGCTGTGTTGCTCAGATTGGTCTAAGCTCCTGCCCACAGGTGGACATCTTTCCCCTGCCACCTGACTACAGGTTGTACCACCTTGCCCACTTGCTAAATCATAGTTTAGCAATACCAAAATATGTAAATTCATTCAAATCATTCATTAAAGATGAAATGTTTTAGTCTCTTCAAAAAATTTGATTCAAACTCTTCATTTTTGCTATTTTTTTTTTTGAGAAGTAGAAATACATAAAAATCCAAATAAAATTTCCTAGCTTTCTAGATGCATTCATTAGATTCTCTTTTCCCTCTTAATGAGACAGGGTCTCCCAGTAGCCCAAGCTGGCCTGGAACTATGTAGACCAGGCTGGCCTCTTTCTCATGAGATTGGCTTTCCTCTCTCTCTACTGCTGGGATTAAGGGTACCCATCACCATGCCTGGCCTCATTAGAACTTTGAAGGAAAGCATTAAGACAATTGCAATTTTGTTTGATGTTTGTGAAAGTTATACTGTAGAATTGAACCTTGACTGTTAATGAGGATTTGTTGTATAATCTTATTTTTGGGACTAATGGATATTTTATTAGTATTAACACTGAATCAGACATAGAGGAGGAAGGAGAGGTATATGTAAGTATTGATATCTCAAGTATTGTATTTTATTTTATTTGACCAGATTTTGAAACTCCAGACTTGGGAGTTTCTTGACTAGTCTTGAAACAAAGATAACTGGCTATATTATTATACCTGAAATTGCTTTGGGTCCCATATTAGAATATCATAACCATACATAAATTATATACAAATTGTCATTTGTGAAATCTTTGAGTTAAAAGAGAAAGACCAATATTCCTAATTGATTTATTGTATTAGATTAGATGTAACACACAGATATTAATGTCATCAATTGAGCCTTATGGTTTATTTCCATGTATTTAAAATAAAACACACATTCCCTATAACAAAGAGTTCTTAATACTGTTTTTTACTGTGTTCTACCACCAAAAGAAAAAAAGAAAAACGGACTCTAATTAATATCACCCCTCCCCCCAAATCTTCTCTGGGGAAATGCAATACGAGTCTTTCGTGTATAAATAATTATTGAACAGATATTATTTAAGATGTTTTTTGAAAACCAGCATTTTGTAATAGGGTTTGAAAAACAGCTTTTCTGTGGTATGCCTTAGAAATACTTAAACAGTTCTAATGTAATCTATAAAATAAAGTCTTCATTAAAGGTTGAAGTGTTAATCTGACCTTCATTATCTTGGTATAAAAAAATATTTTTGTTTACTGGATGTGGTGACACAAGCCTTTAGTCCCAGCACTCCGGAGGGAGAGGCAGGTGAATCTTTGTGAATTCAAGACCAGTCTGGTCTACACAGTGAGTTCTAGGCCAGCTTGGGGTACAGGGAGACTCTTGTCTCAAAAAGACCAAAAAAAAATTATTGTGTTGACCCATTTAGTAGCAGAGAAAAATACATAGTGTTACAGGTATACTTTGAATAAAATCAATTTTGCATTGAAAATAAAGGTAGAATATGAAGTTGTGATAGTTGTGAACGTTATTTTGGCATTAATTCCCTTGGTTTCGTATTTATCAGTATCTCTGAATTTCCTATTAGAGTAATCGCTCAAATTCCTCCTCGCCTGTTGACAAACTGAATCAGCAACCTCGATTAACCAAACTGACAAGGATGCGCACTGATAGGAAGAGTGAATTTTTGAAAGCATTGAAAAGAGACAGAGTAGAAGAGGAACATGAAGACGAGAGCCATGCTGGCTCAGAGAAGGTAATTGAATTTGCAGCAGTTCTTTTTATGTGTCTGAGTGTATTGCCTGCATGTATATAAGTGCACCCATGTAGTGCAGTGTCCATGGAGATCAGAAGAGGGCATTGGATCTCCTGGAACTGGAGTTACAGACGGTTGTTAGTAGCCATGAGGGTTTTGGGAACCCAACCTAGGTCCTCTGCAATAGCAGCCAGTGCTCTAAAGTGCTGAGCCTTCTTCAGCAGCAGTTCTTGATTTGACATTAACATGTCTTTGAATCACATGGGCAAATATTTAGAATCTTGAAAAAATTCTAATCCAAATTTCATCTCTAATCCTGCTCCTATAAAGCAGGTTCCTGTCTTCTCTAAGTGGATATTCCAGGTCTTAACAAAGCAGTGGCTGACCTGGAACTCACTATGTAGTTGAAAATGAACTTGAACGTTTTATTCTGCTTCTACCTTTAGAGTGCTGGACAGGCATGCACTATCACACCTGGTTTTGGCAAAATTACGCCTGATGAATAATGTATCACGTTAAGAGTACATGCTAACTCTGTACACTTTTTCAAAAAACACATGAGGGAAATGTACTTGATGACTTTTTTTGTTCTATTTAATCAGTTGATTTCCTTTACAAAATTAGAAATGAGCTCTGCCATCTGGTTGGTTTCAGCTATGAGGAGCCTCAGCAGGAAATAAGAATAGTGAGATGGGGGCACCTAATCCCTTGGTTCTCTTCCTCTCAGTCACTGTGGTTTATGTTCTCCTGCCAGCAGAATACTTTGTTAATGGATTCCCTTCCTTTTGATGCTGGTTTCCCTTGGTTTCTTCCACTTTCACTGTTGGTGACAGCAGCTTTATGGGTACTCATTGGGGGTGCTCTTACTCTCAACATTTGTTGTTGTTTTTTTTAATTAGTTTATTGTATTTTTCATATCAGTGAGTGTATTGCCTACATGTTTGTAAGTGCACCCATGTCATGCAATGACCTCGGAGGTCAGAAGAAGTTGTTGGATCCCCTGGACCTGGACTGGGTGCTAGGAATTGAACCCAGGTTCTCTGCAAGAGGATTCCATGTCCTTAACTGCTGAACCATATCTCCAGCCCCACATGTACACATTTGTAAATGGACCTTCAGTAATTTTGGCTGTGAATTTCAAAAATTCCCTTTAAAGAACGTTAGGTAGCCAGCCAACCATTTGTCTACGTGGTTTCCTTTCTCAGGTAGCCTTTTACCATTCTATATTTTGCATTACCTATGCAAAAATACATTCTTTTGAAGTGGTAGTACAAGAATGCCTTCAATTCCATTAATTCCCAACAGTCAGAAGCAAGTAGATCTCTGTGAGATCAAGTCCAGTCTGGTCTACATAGCAAGTTCCACACCAGTTGGTCATGCAGGTAGATCCTCTCTCATGCACAAAATTCGAAAATAAAACATCTTTTGGAGACAGCGTCTTATGTCTCCCAAACTGAGCTTGAATTTCTGGTCCTTTAGCTTTAACATCTCAACGAAATGATAAAATTAACAGGTGTGTATTACTGTGCCTGGTTACAAATATTTTTATGTATTATTTATTTATTTTTAATTCTGTCTCTGGGCTCAGTGTCATAGGCTTATAATCCTAGTACTCTTTAGACTGAGACATTGAAGATTGCTTTAAATCTGAGTTCAGCCGGGACTGTAAAGCATCAGAACTGCGTACTTGTCTTAAAAAAAAAAAGGACCAGAAAGTTTTGAATATTCTGCCTATCTTTATTTCACATTCTTGCGAGAATGCCTGTGAAATTTAATGCTTGCAAATACTACATTTATGTACTTTTTCGTGAGAATCTAGCCAGTTTGTACTACTTTATCAGTAACTGTTTTTTAGAACTCTTTGCTTTTAAACTCTCTAAAAATCAGGATGAAGACTCGTTTAATTTGCATAACAGCAATAGTACTCACCAAGAAAGAGACATAAATAGAAACTTTGATGAAAATGAGATTGCACAAGAGAATGGCAATGCCTCAATGATTTCCCAACAGATCATTCGGTCTTCAACCTTCCCACAAACTGATGTTCTTTCCAGTTCACTTGAGGCAGAACACAGGTTAGTAATTATTTTCACTTTTCCTCTGGCATTTTCTGTATTCAAGATATTATTATAGAGTTCTTATATGATTAATTGGTTCCTTTTTTTCGTCTCTACAGAACTCAGGTTGTCATATATTTTAGGCAAGCACTTTTCCACTTTGCTCTACTCCCAAACCCCAATTTATTTTACTTTTAACATCCTTATTAAAAACAAATTTCACCTCTTTTTAAGTGGATAGATGAATGATTTTTAATAGATTCACAGTTGTGTAATTTCATTGCAACATAATTTTAATAAATTTGAATTTAATCATTTTCACTCTGACCTAGGTAATCACTAATCTGTTTTCTGTCTGTATACTTTTATGGATATTGATACCAGTGAAACCATATCTGCTCTTTTTGTTTGGCTTTGACTAAGCATATTTTTCCTTTCTGCTCTAGCATGTCAGTACTTTGTTCTCTTTTTATTGCTCAGTAGTAAGTACACTATATAACTGTACCACTTTTTAATTCATCAATTAATAGATACCAGTTGTTTCCACTTTTATTTGTTTGGAGATAGGGTCTCCCTGTAAGCCCTGGGTGACCTCAGGGAATTTTCAAGTCTGTGTCCATCCCATGCCCCCCCCCCCCATCTTGAAGAACACTGAGGCTGTTGCCTCTCTCAGCTTTATTTCCATGGGTTCTTGGGATTGATTTGAACCCAGGTCTTCAAGCTTGCATGGTAAGCGTTTTATTCACTGAGCCATTTCTCCTGGCCTCAGTCATCTGTCTTTGATTATGGCCATTCTAATGAATGTGAAGTGGCATCTTTCTTTGTGTGACATTTTTGAAGTGCAGTTCTTAATAACTGATGATATCAAAACCCTTTGCCCCCTTTTTTTTCTGAGGTAGGGTCTCCCTCCAGCCCTCACTGGCCTAGAACTCACTATGTAGACCAGGTTGGCCTCAAACTCACAGAGATCCACCTGCCATTTCCTCCCAAGTGCTGGGATTAAAGACATGTGCCACCTCACTGGGTCAGTATTGAAATCTTTGTCTTTTTGAGATAGAGTCTCCCTGGAGCCACAGCTTGCCTGCAGCTTGCTATGGCTGGCCTCGATCTCAGAGGTCTGCCCATCTCTGCCTCCTGAGTGCTGAGACGTGGGCCACCAAGCCTGGCTCTGGTATTGAAATCTTTTAATATGTTTATTGGCCATTTATATGGCATGGTTGGGAAAAAAAATACCTATTGTAATACCTGTTTTTAAAACTCATAGTCATGAAGCTGTGAAATTTCCTTATTTTGTATATAAATGTCACCCACACATTCCTTTATTTCCAGTCCTTTATTTTCATTAGGTATCTAAATTCTAGAAGAGATTTTTTTTTTCATCTTGTTCATTCCTAAATTTAATCACCAAGTATAGTTGGTACTGAAATTTGTTGTGTGCTTACATTTACATTTCTCTTTTTCCATTCTCTGTGTTGTTTTTACTAGTGGTGCCTTTTAAAGGTTGAAACTTAAATGAAATCCTGTTTATCAGTGTTTTCTTATACCACTTATATGATGTGAGATAGTCCAGATTTACCTTTCCTCATATGGGTATCCTATTTTTGTAATACGTGATTTATATTTTATTAGATTCACAAGCACATTGTTTCCATTTTTGTAATCCTAAACTTCAAATTTTTTTTTTTAATTTTACATGTATGAGTGTGTTGCCTTCATGTGTGTAAGCGTACCCGTGTTATTCAGTGCCCTCGGCGGTCAGAAGAGGGCATTGGATTCCCTGGAACTGGAGTTACAGATGGTTTTAGCTACCATGTGGGTGCTGGGAATTGAACCCAAGTCTTCTGCAAGAGCAGTCAGTGCTCTTAACCCCTGAGCCATCTCTCCAGCCCTGTTTTAAGCGTTTTTAACACACTAACCACATAAATAGTTTAGTTGCAGAATTGAAAAGTATTTAATTTTAGAGAAGACTGATTTTGTTTTCTTCCTAATGATATATAAAGAGTAGCCTTTTCTTTTTCTTATTAATTTTATTTTCTGTGTTACGAATGTGTTGCCTGCATGTATGTACATCCATGTCCTACAATGGCCTGAGGAAGCTAGTAGAGGGTGTCTGATACCCTGGAACTGGACTTAAGGACTGTTACATGCTTTTATTATTACACATTATGCTATGGTTAATTTATTGATTTTTTTCTTTCCCACTAAAAAATTGTTTAACTGGGACTAGAATTAGTATAGAATGATGCTTGTTTAATAGCTGGCTGACTCTTTGTAACCTTTTTTAATGAATCTTTTGGGGGAACTTTGTTATATCTATCATGGAATAACCTCTGTAGACATACCTATAGTTCTAGCCTTTATTTTCATTAGGTATCTAAATTCTAGAAGAGATTATTTTTTTCTGTCTTGTTCATTCCTATATTTAATCACCAAGTATGGTTGGTACTGAGATTTGTTGTGTGATTACATTTGTTAGATGAACAAGTGAAATATAAATTCCAATATTTTTCTAACTACATTGTAGAACTGTATTCATTTTGAGGGAATATTTCTATTTGACTTTTTATCTCGTTTAAATTTTTTTTTTTTTTTTTTGGTGCTTTGAGTTGAACCTGGACACACACACACACACACACACACAGCACTAAACGCCCTTTTAACTTTTTTAACATTCTAATTTTTCTCCGTTTCACAAATGCCATTTAATAAAAGTTATAAATCTTTATAAATCCTGTACCTTTCTGTATTGACTTGTTCATTTATCTCTTCCTGTGATTATTTTTGTTTTCCTTCAAAACATTTCCTTTTCTGCTCATATATAACTATGAGAATATAAATATTTGTTTCAATTTGCAGTATTAAGTAGTTTAATTTATTGGGCTAAAATAAATATGAATGCTCATTTTATGAGAGTTAATATAAAGACTAACTGTAACTCTAGTATTTTACTCCATTTTTTTCATCTATTCGTTCATTGAATCCATTCTTTCTTATGCTTCACGATATATGAATCCTCTAAGTATGTTCTGCAGTGCTGGCCTGGTAGTCATGAATTGCCTATGCTCGGATCCATCTTGAAATGCCTGTTGCTACATCAAGTTTAAAAGATAAAATTATTGGAAATTATCACCTTGGTTTATATACTTCCAGGGCTTGATTTCATCCCATGCCTTCCTGGTTGTTGCGTTTTTTTTGTTGTTGTTGTTGTTTTTTTGTTGTTGTTGTTTTGCTGAGAGGTCTGTTATTCTGGTATGTATTCCTCTGTATGTGAATTGGAGTTTTTCTCTTGCATCCTTTAACATTGCTGTAGTTTTAGAATCCTAATTATAATGTGTGTCTTAGATACATTCTCTGGTTATGTCATTTGGGGTTTCTTTGGCCTTTTGTGCTTTAAATGCTCATTCTAGTCCCTGTATTTTGGAAATTTTTTGCCATAATTTCATTGAATAGATTTTCTGTATCTTTACTTTGTATTTTGGTTCTTTGTACCTATTGATTTTTAGGTTTGGTTTTTATCGTGTGCCAGTGCTCTTGGAAGTGGAAGTTAAGCAGGCATGCGTGCTTGGTGCTTTCTTGCTTACTTATTTCCCTTTTTGATACCCATATTTCCCAGATCCAGTTTTCTCTCCTTGGTTTTTTTTTTCTTTCCTTCCCTGTATAGTCTGTTGGTGATGCTTTCTATTATGTTTTTCACTTGATAGAGCTTTTCATTGCCATCATTTGTTTGTCCAGGTGTACTGCCTCCCCCGCAAAGTCTCAGTTTCCTTTTCTTTTCCCATCCACTTTACTTTCTTCCTGAGTTGATTTCCTTGTTCATTCACCTGCTTGTTTGTGTCCTCTTTGAAGGCATTGAACATATTTTTATAAATATACTCGTATACTTTGTCTAACATCTTCATATCTTTGGATTTGGTTATTGAAGACTTAACGTGTTCTGGAAGAGTTATGTTACCCTTTTCAAGTTTCTTGTGATTCTGTGTTGTAATTTATACATCTTTGGGGATAGATATATATATATTCCACTTTTATTTGAGTCTCTTATTGAACAGTTTTTACTTAAGGCCTGAATTCTCAGTACCACACAGAGAGGAGATAAACCACTTTCAGCTGCAAGAACACTGAACTAAACCAAATATAGAAATATACTTTTAAGTTGATTAATGCTGTCTACCTTGCCACCAGTGACTAAAAAGAAAATGACAAAGGTTATGAGACATGTTAAGATGTTTAAAAATTAATTGTATTAAAAGTAAAAATAATAATGGATTGAAATAAAGGCCAGGGAGAGGAGAGGAAGAATTTGGGTTTAATTAAAAGAAAAGCATACAGAAGACAGGAGGTGAATGTTAGGGAGGGAGAACAAAAGCAAGCAACTCCAAAACAATTCAGTAGCACCAGGAAGAAATATATAAGTAAAATTAGATATATAACAAAAAGAAATAAAAACAAAAACTTACAAGTAAATGGTGTGTGGGCGGGGGGCACTAGGAACCGGAAAATATTGAGCAAGTTCTTTCTAAATTCTCTAATATTGAAGTCTGTTGGGTGGTAGGAATGATCATTTGAAGTTGTAGACTTCTGTTTTATTCTATTCAAAGTGGTGCTGAGTCCATAGTGGTTGAGAGGCAAGCTGCTCAGTAGTGCTTAAAAGTTCTGCAGTGATTTTTAAGGTGTTCTCTTCCTGTGTATGAAGAGCCTCTCCTGACCATTTTTTATTTTGTAGTCTGTGAACCTGACAAGTTTTCACTCACTCTGTCGAGTTTGTAAACCTTCGGGTTGCTAATGTTTAAGCCAAAGGATTGTGCTGAGGTAGGTGGAACACTGAGATATGTTACTGGAGGACCTCAGTGCTTTCTAAACTCGCTCAGTATTATTCTCTCTCTCCTCTCTCTCTCTCTCTCTCTCTCTCTCTCTGGGGGGGGGGTTGGGAAGGCTGCAGGAAGTGTCCACTGGACCTGTGCTTTTGATTTAGAGTTCTTAATCCTACAACCAGTCACAAGACAGATACCCTGCTAGCTTCAGGGTTAAAGCTGCACAGTGACCTCTGGTTCTGGGTTATCAGTCTGAATTTATCCTGCTCTTCTTCGTCAAAAGTGAGTGGTATCATCAGTGATTAAGGGACTGATGGAGACTCTTGCATCCTGAGCTCAGTGATTATGTGTCCAGTCTAATTGTTTCTTTTTTTAATTTTTTATTTTGAGACAGGGTCTCCGTGTAGCCACAGGTGACCTGGAGTCACTATGGAGACCAGGCTGGCCTCAAACTCACAGAGGTCACCTGTCTCTGCCTCCTCAGTGTTGGGATTAAAGGCATGTGCCTGACTAATTGTTTCTTGTAGCCATCTCCCACCCAACAACTGTGTCTGTGTCCCTAGGCTTGTGACTTGTGATTGTTCCTTGTTTTCAGATCCCTAGGGTAGCTTAATCTCAAGTAATACATGCCCTTTCAAAGTTGGTACCCTTTGAAGTCTGCAGAATACAACATAATAACTTTTCCAGTGTTAACTTGTCTCAAAGGTGTTACCATATCCCCTAGCTGATGTAAGACATGAGAACTTTGGCATGTCTTGTGGCGTGGCCCAACTGTCTTTTAAACCAGGGCTGCCTTGCTTACATTATAGAAGTCTTCCCTTCCCCCTTAAGTAGAGGCAGGGCAGATAGTTTCCTTGTTTCTGTTGCTTAGCCATTCTTTTTTTTTTTTTCTTGGACTTTCCAGATGTCCTGTGATTTCCTTAGATGCTTTCCCCCTCTATCTTTAGTATATTGTCCAGATTTATTGTCCATTCTTTGTTTCTCTGATTGTTCTTTTTTTAATATATATTTTTAAAATTTTATGTGTATGCATATATTGCCTGCATGTAGGTAAGTGCACCCGTGTCTTGCAGTGCCCACGGAGGTCAGAAGAGGCTGTTGGATCCCCTGGGACTGGAGTTACAGACAGTTGTTAGCTGCCATGTGGGTGCTGGGATTCAAGCCTGGGTCTTCTGCAAGAACAACCAGTGTTCTTAACTGCTGAATCATCTCTCCAGCCCCTCTCTTATTGTTCTTGATCCTGGCATCATGTAGAAGTTGATTCTAACCTGCCATCCTTGCACAGCTTCTTCCAATCCTCATGTATCAACTTAAATTCTTTCTTCCTTCCAGCCATTGTATGGGCATAATTTGTGAAACTATTTAGCTTTTGAGCAAGATTTTGTTTCTCACTGCTTTAGAAATCATGCTGGTATGTTTGTGTCTTTGACATACTTATATGTCAGGGGCAAAATTTGTGAAGTGGCATACGTTATTTAATCAGTTATTGCTGTGATAGCCCAAAATGTTCTAATTTGCATTCTCAGTGATCATTTAAATCTTTCTAATCATACAGTTGGAAGACCTATAGAAAAGGGGCATTATATCAATCAACTGGTTTAATGATGGTAAAGATTTGTTCTTTTAAAAGAAATATATAGTCTGGGCAATAAAATTATATATATATTAGCTGTAGAATATATTTGTTAAGGCTATAGTAGGAGGCCAGACTTGGTTGGTACATGCCTGTAATTCAGCAGCACTAATTTGGTCTTTTTTTTTTTTTTTTTGTCTTTTGGGGCGGTAGGGACTCCCTAGGCTCAGTCTACCTGGAAGTCATTATGTAAACCATGGTGGCCTCGATCTCCCAGAGATCCATCTGCCTCTGCCTCCCAAGGGCTGGGATTAAAAGGGGGCATCACCACGCCCAGCCCTTTTTTTTTTGAGAAGGGGTCTCCCTGTAACCCCAGCTTGCTTGGAACTCACAGAGATCCACCTACCTCTGTTTCTGCCTCCTGAGTGCTGGGATTAAAAGTTCAATACCTACTAATTTGGGAGGCAGTAAACCAAAACCTGTTTCCTATTTGCTGTCAGTAATCAAGTTATTTTAGTTATGGGACCATGATCCTTAATGAAATATGAATAGCACCTTAATGTGTATTTTTGGGGGGTGGGGTCTTTTTGAGACAGGATCTTCCTGTAGCCCCAGCTGGCCTGGAACTTACAGAGATCCACCTGCCTCATGATTCTGAGTGCTGGGATTAAAGGCATGTTCCACCACTCCCTGTAGGACCATGCTAAATTTTAATCAGGGCTCTTGAGTACTAATATTCTTTGAGATTCATTGGAAAAAGGTATGAAAATTCATAATAATGCAATATATAATCTGCAGGTTGAAAGTTGAGTAAATATAGAGATGATGGAACTATTTAAGGAATGCAAACAAACACTTGCCAGACAAATGGCCTTAAAAGAAGTACAAACTTTTACGTTATTGCCTCGGGTAGCATGCTTGTCCAACTAGTGAAAAATGATTGGTACCCTGTCTTTTCATAGCTCAGTTTGCTTAAAATGGTAGTATTTTCTTTAAGCCTTGGGGAGAAAAAAATATAACTGCATTAGTCATTTTTGATTATTTAGAACTTTAAATTATTTTTCTGTTATGGAATATAGTGTCTCAGATTGGCATTAAGTATTGAGGATAATGATTGGATAATACCCAATAAATATATGTAGAAGAATCAGTTACAAAATGCAAGATAGTGAATCTGTCCCAGCATTTTTTTTTTTCCAAAGGAGAAACCTAATGAGTAGCCAAGAAAATATTTGATTATGGTGGTATTGAAGAAAATGGGAAGGAGCATTGCTATTAATTATTTTTAGCTCAATAATTTACCACATTTTATTTTTGCCTCTATCACAGGTTTTCAGCCTAGAGAGCCTTGACCCTAAATATTAAGTAATTAGGCAGTTCATTCTTTTATTTCAATTTAAATTTTTGTGAGCCTCATATATTTTGATCATATTAGATCCCCTCTCATATTTGTATCCCCTTTCTTTTTTTAATATTTTATTATTTTTATTTTATGTGTGTGAGTGTATTGCCTGCATTTGCATAAGTGCACCCATGTTGCGCAGTGCCCTCAGAGGTGAGAAGAGGGCATTGGCTCCTCTGGAACTGGAGTTGTAGACTACTGTTAGCTGCCATGTGGGTGCTGGGATTCGAACCTGGGTCTTCTGCAAGAGCAGCCAGTGCTCTTAACTACTCTTAACCATCTCTCCAGCCCCCTGCATCCCTGTTCTAATGCCCCACTCTCTCTCTCTCTCTCTCTATATATATATATATGCATATGTAATATATGATAGGATCTCTCTCTACACACACGCACACACACGTGTGTGCGTGTGTGTGTGACTGAATCTCCCATCCCAGCAGTCATCTGTTGCCAGTAGTTCCTAGGTCAGGTTGGCATTTCTTTCCCACTTCCTCATGTCTATACTGGGATTTTGTCTGGCTTGAGCTTATAGGGACATGTCCTTGCTATCACTATTACTGTGAGTTCATGAGAGTTACTGACCAGCTATCTGGAAAACTGTTTTCTTGTGGTTTTCCACCTCCTCTGGCTCTTAGAATCTTTCTGTGCCACCCACCTCACCCCCCTTCTGCAGTGATCCTTGAGCCCTGGGAGGCAGAAGTTTGATATGTGTCCTATTCAGGGATAAGCACTCTTCAGCCTCTTAATCGCTGCACGTTGGTCAGTTGGGGTTCTCTGTTAATCACTTTCTGTTGTATATGGGCGCTTCTATTTTGAGAGTTAGGAGATGTGTGAATTAAAGCAGGTTCAGGAAACTGTTCAGATTTGGGGATCCAGAAGGGTCCTCCAGTTCATTCTTTTTTGCTGTCAAGCATGATTTACTTGATTAGTTACTTTTCAGAAAGATCATTCAGGAAATAAACTCAAAAGTTCTTTTGTGTACGTTGTGAACTTTGTGCAGTGGATTATGGATCACATTTTCTTGTATATAGCATAAGTGGAATTACCCTACTCAGATAAAGCTCTAAATTAAACTTAATTTCCTCCTTTTTCAGACTATTAAAGGAGATGGGCTGGCAAGAAGACAGTGAAAATGATGAAACATGTGCGCCCTTAACTGAGGATGAAATGAGAGAATTCCAAGTTATTAGTGAACAGGTAAGAAAATCTGAGCTATTCTGATTTTCTCTTAAACAGCCCTTCCTTAATTAGAACAACATAAGTATAGATAATGGGGGTAGGGGTAGGTTATGGTTTTACTTAGGAATTTATTAGGCATATTATGGTAGGTCAGAATTAGAATTGGCTTTGTTTTAAACAAATCTGTAATGACTTATTGTGTGTATATGGTGTCTAGGTAAAAAACCATCTGTAACTCCCAGTTCCAGGGGATCCAATGCCCTCTTTCAGCCTCAATGGGCATTGCATGAGTTTTTATTATCCAGATCTCTGAGATTTTGGTTATTGGTTTGACATGGGTGACAAATTTAATAGCTTTTAATTAATTTTGCCTTTGATCCTTTTGCAAAAGAATATTTAATAATCTAAGACACTGTATTTTGGGTCTCTGAGTTTCACTTTTGAAAGTATTAAGAAATGTTCAGTAGAACATCAAAAAGTTATTTTTCTAAATCTATTGTAGATTTTTTAAATGTTCTGGTCAGGTAGAGCTGATTTTCTATGCAGAGATAGTATGGTTGATGCTGTAATCTTCAGAAATACTTCCTGAGTGTTTTGAATGATGAAAGCTTTCAGGAAAGCAAGTCATAATAACTTGATAAATTGATAGTGGACTTTATTGTTTTAGCTTAAATTTTTTTGAGTGAATTTAATCAGTATTCCCTCCATTGTATTTTTTTAATTTTTAAAAGATTTTTTAAATGTATTTTTATTTTATATGTTTGAGTGCATGCATGTTGTGTACCCTTGAGTGCTTGCATGCATATAAGTGTGCCCTGCATTGTGCAGTGCCCATGGAGGCTTGAAGAGGGCATCGGATCCCTGGAATTAGAGTTACAGGTGGTTATTAGCCGCCATGTGGTGCTGGGAACTGAATCAAGGGCCTCTGCAAGAACAGTCAGTGCTTATAATGACTGAACTCTCTAACTCCTTCTCTTTTTTTGGGGGGTGGGGGTGTCTTTTTGAGATAGGGTCTCCCTGTAGCTCCAGCAGGCTAGTGTAGAACAGGTTGGTCTCGATCTCACAGAGAACCTCCTGTCCCTGCCTCCCAAGTGCTAGGATTAAAGGCATGTGCCACCACACTCAGCACCCCTCCATTGTATTTTTAAAAGTTGGTTAAAAACACACTAACTTAACCTTTTTTTTTTTTTTTTTAATTACATACAGCTCAGTGGCTTTAAGTATATTCATACTGTTATGTAACCACCAACACTATCCATCTTCAGAATGTTTTTCATCGTCCCAAATGGAAACTACCATTCTGCTTTCTGTGTGAACTTGTTGATTTTTCTATACCACATATAAATGGAATCATACATTATTTTTGTGATGGTCTTAATTTCATCTAGCATTATAACCTTAAGGTTTATGTCTGTAGCATGTCTTGGAATGATCTGGTTTTAAGATTATTACTGCATATTGTGAATGTATCACATTTTATTTATCCATTCATCTCTATCAGTTGACACTTGGGTTGCTTCTACCTTTTGACTACTGTGAATAATGCTGCCTTGAAAATAAGTGTGCAAATTCTTGCTTTCAATTTTCAGGTGTTGGGAGGGGGGAGTATATATTTAACAGTAGAATTGCTGCTGAAGAAAAGTTGAGCCAGTGAGATAGCTTAGCAGGTCAACTTACTTGCCATACACCTGACAACTTGAGTTTGATCCTTGGCATCATCAAGGTGGAAGGAGAGAACTTATCCAAGTTGTCCTCTGACCTCCACATGTGTGCCGTGGCACACATACACTTGCAATGTGCGTGTTTGCATATACACAGTCAATACATACATACGTACATACATACAAATTTTTTTTTTTTAAGTTTTAGGATTGGCTGGCAACCTTAATTTGATCCCCAGGACTCACGTAGGAGAGAACAGTGTCCTTAAAGTTTTTCTCTGACCATCACAGGTACACCTTGGCACATGTGTACCTATATATTCACATAATAATATGGAGGATTAGAGAGATGGGTCAGCAGTTAAGAGAGCATTTTCTACTCTTATAGAGGACTCTGGTTTGATTCTCAGTACCTACTTCATGCATTTCCCAGCCATCTGTAATTCCAGTTCCAGGGGCTCTGACATTTCTACCAGGTACCTGGCATGTATGTGGTTCACATCCATGTGTGTGTGGCATTCACATATACACATAAAAATGAATAAAAACTTAAAAACATAAATGTAATTTAAAGACAAAGTTTTAGAGGGACTGCCATACTGTTTTCCACAGGGAATATACCATTTTGTATTCTCTCTACCTATAGTGTATAAGAGGTGTGTCTCTTAGGTGATGCTATATCTAGTTAGGTTGATAATAATGATTAACAGTCAGAAGTATCCTTTCTCCAGTTTTTATTGAAGACTACCCTTTCCATTTCAGATGGTCCAGGCAATGGCTAGTTTGATCAATAGATAAGGGTAGTTGCTGCCAAGTCTGGTAACTTAAGATTTATTACCAGAACCCTATGGTGGAAGGAGAGAACCAACCCTCACAGGTTCTTCTCTGACCCCTACCCCCACCCCCCAATACAAAGTTTTCTAAAGCAAATGAACGAATAAATAAATGTCTAGGCACTCAGGCTGAGTATCTGCAGATACATACACAAGGGTTTCTTTCTGTTTTAGGTAGGTTTTTTTGTTTTTTATTTTGTTCTTTTTGTTTGTTTGTTTTAATTTTTATTGCTGGGAGTGGTGGCGTACGCTTTTAATCCTAGCACTCCGGAGGCAGAGGCAGGTATATCTCTGTGAGTTCGAGTCCATCCTGGTCTACATAATGAATTCCAGGCCAGCTGGGGCTATATGTATGAGTGTATGCCTGCATGTGTGTAAGTGCACCTGTGTCATGCAGTGCCCATGGAGGACAGAAGAGGTGTCGGATCCCATGGAGCTGGAGTTATGGATGGTTGCTAGCTGCCATGTGGGTGCTGGGATTCAAACCTGGGTCTTCTGCATGAGCAATCTCTCCAGCCCCTTGCTTTGTTTCTTTAACAACAACAAAAAAAAGGTAGGATTTTCCTGTAGCCCCAGCTGGCCTAGAACACCCTATATAGATTAGGCTGACCTTAATATCAGAGATTTGCCTGTCTCTGCCTCCTTAGTGCTTGGATTAAAGGTATGTGCCACCAAGCCTGGCAAGGGTTTCCTTATGGGCTCTCCATTCCTTTGGTCTATGTCAGTTTATGTTAGGAGTCCTTTTCTTTTTAAAGCAGGGTCTCTAGCACTGGCCGAATGCCCTATATAACCTGGGAGGATGACTTTTAATTTAGGCTCCTCCCTTCTGTACTTCTTTGTGCTGGTATTCCAGGCCTGTTCTCCCACTCCCATTTTATGCAGTACTGGGAATTTAACTCAGGGTCTCCTACCTCCTACATGCTAGGCAAGCATTCTACATTTCTAGTCCAAGGAGTCCTAACTATACTGTTTTGCTTACTATATCTTTGTGATACGTTTCAGAATCAGGAAGTATGACCCTCCAGTTTTGTTTTGAAAATTTGCTTTGGAGTCTCTTCACATTCCATATGAAATTTAGGATAGAATTTTCTTTTGTTTATCTTAAATCCTTTTTCATTGATGTATATTTAATTGCAAAATAAAATGCTTCAATGTGGGATTTTCATATATGCATACAGTATACTTTGTTCATATCTTTCTCCCATTTTCTAACTCCGTCTTCCCTCCTTTCTACTAGACGGGTGGATTTTTCTATTTTGCAACAAATGCCATTGTGATTGCAAAAGGAATTTAATTGAATCTGTAAATCATTTTGGGTAGCATTGACATCTTAGCAATATTAAATCATCTTAACTGTGAACAGGAGGTTATCCTTCCATTGGTATGAATTTTGGGCATATCAGAACTTTTGTTTCCCTTTGAACTTCATTCATTGTACTTATTCCCTAATGTTTTGTTCTTTCATGCTAATGGAATTATTTTCTAACTTTCTGATCCGTTCATTGTTATGTTCATTGTGCTAGAAACAACTAACTTTCCCAGTGTTGATTTTGTATCCTTTGACTTTGATGTGTTTATTAGACTTACATTTCTTGGTGGTGGGAGGGGTCGTTATTGCTGGAGTTTTCTATATCGTTGTCTTCTGCAAACAGATAATTTCACTTTTTCTCAAATTAAATATTTGTATTTATTATTTTCATTTTATTATGTGTATGAATGTATTGCCTGCAGGTAAATAGGTGCACACATGTCTTGCAGTGCCCACAGAGGTCAGAAGGAGGTGTCGATCCCCTGGAGTTACTTACAGATAGTTGTTAGCCACTATGTGGGTGCTGGGAACCTAGGTATTCTGCAAGAGCAGTCAATGCTCTTATCCACTGAGCCATCTCTCCAGCCACTAGTATTTCTGTGTTTTATCTAGTCTCCCACAGTCTGCTTTTGACTGCAAATCCTCCCTTGCCTTTTGAAGTTTTTCCACCTCTTTCTGAAGTTAGTTTTCATTCACATCTCTCCTTTCTGTTTCCATTCTCTTTCAACTCTACACTAATTTTTTCACAATGGGTTGATAGTTGGTAAATGTTTGTTTTATTCTCTTCAAATGATAGAATTTTCTTTTCCTTTTTAATTTTGTTTTGTTTGGGAACAAAGTCTTACTATGCAGTCTGACTGGTCTGTATTTAGACTGGCCTGGAATGCTTCTATTTAGCCCAGGTTGGCCTTGAACTTGTGAACTTTGTGTCTCGAAACTGCTGGAATAGTAGATGTTTGCCACCATGCCTTACTAAGAATAGACTTACTCTATTAGAAAAAAACTTTTTTAGAAAAAAGAGGTCAGTTACCTGTCTAAATAGCTTATTTTTCAGACTTGATATAGTTGTATCTGTGGAATTTTCAGGGTAGGATACAATGAAGACTTTTTATTATAATAATCATTAGTGTACTTCATTATTATAGTATTTTAATTTGGGGGTAAAATTAATTTGCTTGTTTTAAATGTTGCAGTTACAGAAGAATGGTCTGAGAAAAAACGGTATTTTGAAAAATGGCCTGATCTGTGACTTCAAGTTTGGACCCTGGAAAAACAGCACTTTCAAACCCACGATTGAGAATGATGACACAGAGACAAGTAGCAGTGACACATCCGACGATGACGATGTGTGAAGGATTTCCTAACAGCTTTAGAAATTTTAGTGTGATACATCTCTCATGCAGTTTGGGGTGAATTGTAAAAATGAAGAACTATAATTTATGTAGTGACCCCATTAGAAGATGATTTTTTGGGGGACTTCAATATGAAGAAAACCAAGAATGTTGTGTTGGGCTGTGTTGAACATTATTTCTTTGTAAATGAATGTTGTAGAAATGAGGACTTTGGTTGATCCAACATTGACTTTCTTCATCACTGCAGCATTTCTCTGACTAGCAATGTGACGATGTAACAAATGAGATTTTTCTCATTTAATAATAAAAAATTGTGTAATGTTTTGCAAAGCTTCTGTCTTAAAATGTCCAGGTCTTAAGAAAAAAGGCAGCTTACAGTTTTGCTTGCAGAGTCATACCTTTTTCGTACAATGGAAATCTTCAACTCCACTTTGTGCACCTCTTCAATTCCCTTTCCCCTAAAACAAACAAAACAAAACAACAACAAAAAAAGCAAAAAGGAAAATGTAGCATGTTGGCTAAAACTGGAGCAAGTGCACTAAAGTATAACTTCCCGAACTCAACTGTTGTACTAGTCATCCTTCAAAACATAAATTGCTCTTTAGTCCTTTGTAGTGCAGTAATATAGAGGAGACTTGCCACTCTTCCTTCCAAATTTTAAGAGGTGATTTTCAAGAGCTTTATTTGGGTAGTGTATTGTCAGATCAGGATTTTCAGAGCTGACTGGAAGAGTTGTAGGAAAACTTATTTTGATAAATTATTACACATGCAGAAAAACCTGATCACACTGACTGGATATGTCCACAACATGGAAAATAAACTGGATTTTCAGAAATTGTTGTTTTCTGTAGTGTTCAAGGTATCGGTCTCCAATATGTGTTATTAACTTCAAGTTACACTTTCTTCATTAAAAATTGTGATTACTTTGAAGGTAGAAAAAGAAAGTTGTCTTTATCAAATGCTCAGGGCTATTGAATGAACATTGCCAGATTTCATTTGCACATTAATTTTAGAATAATTTCTTTTTTAATGGATGGGACACTATTTTAGCTTTGTATATTTTGTATTTGATTTTTTTTCAAGCTTTGTTGAGCTTCATTTAATTTCCTCTATTCCAACCCCATATATAAGTATATTCTATTTGTAAAGAGAATAATCTTACATGAGAAATGTTTAAAGTTTTATGCCAGACTGGTCTACTTCTAAGAGTTTGTTTTCTAAATTTCGTTTTCTCAGAAGACTGCAATGCTTTTTTTCTATTTGTGCATCAGTCCTCTGTCCAGACTCAGCAGCTTCCACCAGAAATGAATTTTTCTTGTTTTATTTTTTCTTTTCTTTGATTTCCACTGAAGATTGGTGGTGATGGAGAAATTAAACCTGAAAAACTATTAGCACTCCCATAAAACTTTTGAGGATAAGTGCAGGGCAAAGTATCTTTGGCGAGGTGGCGCACGTCTTTAATCCCAGCACTTGGGAGGCAGAGGCAGGTGGATTTTTGTGAGTTTGAGGCCAGCCTGGTCTACATAGCAAGTTCCAGGACAGCTGGGGCTACAAGGAGACCCTGTTTTAGATTGAAAAAAAAAAAAAAAGAACTTTTTATTATGAAATTGGCCACAATTCAGTCTAAGTGAACAAAGTTAAATGTGTTAGCCATAAGAAATCCTAAAGGATACTTTGACAAAGCTGTCAGTTTCTCTCTTGGGATTGTATTGTTTGATTAATAGGATAATGATATCAGATGCACACTGCTAAAACAACTAGAAGGGACTTGAGAAATGTGGTTCACACTTAAAATCTTTTTCCCCCTTAATTCCAGGAAAATGTTTGTTTCTCGGCATCTTTCTAGTCAGGCAGTTTTTTCCTTAATTCCCATTTAGATATAACTAATATTTACTGTGCTTTGATGCATAGTAATAATGGAATGTGATTACTTTTTTTTTTTTTTGGTCTTTTTGAGACAGGGTCTCCTTGTAGCCCTATGTAGACCAGGCTGGCCTTGAACTCAGAGAGATCCGTCTGCCTCTGCCTCCCGAGTGCTGGAATTAAAGGCATGCACCACCACACCTGGCGAGATTACTTTTTTATAAATATGGTCAAGTACAGTGGTAAAGTAGTTCTACTTATGTGATGGCGTTAACAAGTTGGGCTATTAAGGGGATGGAGCCACATTGTTTTGTTTTTTGTTTGAGATAGGGTCCCCCTATTTAAGGGAAGGGAGCCACATACCTTTTTTTTTGTTGCTTTTTAATTTTTCTTTAAATTTTTTTTTTTGTTCTTTTGAGACAGGGTCTCATAGCACAGCGGGCCTGGAACTTGCTGTGTAGACCAGGCTGGCCTCGATCTCATAGAGATCTGCCTGCCTCTGTCTCCTGAGTGCTGGGATTAAAGGTGTGTGCCATCATGGGGCTCATGTAAATGTAATTTAATAAGAGTATTTAAAGTTAGCATAGTTTTAACTTGCTGTGTAAAACAATGAAGAACCGATAGTTTGAAACATGGTTAGAGAGGGAGCTTAACAAATACCAAGAGTAAGTTGTAGATATAGTGTGAATTGTTGAACATAGAATTAAGTCATGGTGGTATAAAGAAAAAAGCAATTTGAGTGCTTCACATTTTTCCTTTCATAGCAAGTTATAAAAAGGTATCCATTGCCCTAACAGCACAAATTTTGATGTTTTAACCCCAAAATCACCACAACCAATGTAGTAAAGGTTAATACATTCCCCAAAATTTCTTTGTACTTCCTTTGTAGTCTTTTCACGCTATACCCCCACCTTTTTTGTGTAATTTGTAATTAAAGGAAAAATTCTTAAGGTAATGATTTAAAATAGCATTTCAAAACTTGTATCTTATTTGTTTTCATGTAAGATAAGGATTAGAGTAATTTTAATTTCCACAAATATCTCTTTTAAATTTGAAATAAGTGTAAACCCCAAAATAGATTGATTTAATATCAGGTTTATGTTAAAATACAGGCTGTTGAAGGATATGTTTTTAAATTTTTTTTTTGCTAATATTTATATGTACTGTTAGGATATTATATAAACATTTAAATTTTATTTTAGGAATATATTAAATGATTTTTCTTGTGACTTAGAAAAACCAGAAATCATATTCTTTGATGTTTCACAATGTCTTAAACTTAATAAAAGTTGTTTAACAGTTTTAGGGCCTAGAGAGGTGGTTCAGTGGTTAAGAGTACTTGCTGCTCTTGGAGAGAATCCACCTTTGGTTTCCAGCACTCACTCAGTGGTGTACAGCTGTATATAATCCCAGTTTCCAGGTGATCCAGTGCCCTTTTACGGCGTCTGGGCACCAAGCAGCATATGGTGCACATGCATACATCATACACATAAAAATAGGTAACAGAGCAAGAAATGACAGGAAATTTCTTTTGTAAGGTGAGTTTTTTTGTTGCTACAAATAAGTTTTTGCTCAAGCCTTTATATATTAGAACATCACCAGTTGAGAACTGGGTGCTGTGACTTTGGGGAAGTTTAGGTTCCCTGATAATGGGTATTTGGCTATGGAGAGGTAGTGGGCACAGGGTATTTCAAGCCATGGCAAAATCTGTAAAAGCCCCAAGTGCTGCTGCAGCTTTGGTTCCATTTTTCCTGCTTAATGTTTCTATAGGCTAGGCCAAATACTAGGGAATAGCAGTAGTGATAGAACTCTAAATAGCTGTGATTGTTTTAATTTAGAACTTTTAGTTCACTATTTGGGAATGTGTTATTCAGTACTTCTTTTAAAAGGTTTTATAATAACTAATTTTTGTTTACTTCTGGGTTCACCTTATGCACGTTGAATATTTTATGACAATCCTTTTTGTTTTTACCTTAGTATATATTTACATAGTAATGGGTTTCATTGTGATATACCTGAACATAATGTGTTTCCATCATATTCACTCCTGTATCTCTCTCTTCAGCCCCTCCCATTCCTGCTCTTGCTTCCAACTAGTCCCACTTGTACTTCATTTTTTGAGACAGGGTCTCTCTGTAGCCCCAGCTGGCCAATAACTCACTGTGTAGACCAGGCTGGCTTTGAACTCACAGAGATCTGCCTATTTCTGCCTCCGAGTGCTGGGATTAAAGGCATGTGCCACCATGCCCAGCTTCATGTGGTTTTTGTATTTTTGTGTGTGTGTGTTTTGTTTTTAAACCCATTGAGTTTCATTAGGGTTGTTTACTGAAGGTTGGGCAACTAGTGGGTACTGAAGAAACCGACTGAAGAAAACGTCTCTGAATTCCCCCATCAACTGTGGATGTTTGTATAAATCTTCGGGGGGTGGGGAGTTGTGAGCTCCCCTCTCTCTACCAGGACAGATTGTTGATGAGCCCAATCCTGTGTAGATCTTGTACAGGCAATCCTTTTGCATTCACTACACAAACTCCTAAGGAGTATCACTTTGTAGAAAGAGCTGGGTATTGTAGTGCACACCTTTAGTCCCAGCATTTGGGAGACAGAGGCAGGTGGATCTCTGAGATGGAGGCCAGCCTGGTCTACATAGTAAGTTCCAGGCCAGCTGGGACTACAGAGAGACCCTGTCTCAAAAGCAACAAAACAGAATCCTCCCTTACCACCGCCCCCCAAATTTTGTAGAAATAATCTGGCATGATGATTGGAATATTAAATGAGCTGTATCCAATTACTAGATCAGAACTGTTAGGATTCTGCTGTGGTGTGTTCAGTACAGCAGGGCCCCAGCTCGAGATTTATTGTAAAAGTTAACAAAGCTTCTACCTGTTAGTATTGTACTGAGGAGCTTATAAAAACTGGTGGCTGTGTCACTCCTCTCAGAAGTTGCCGTTTTGTTAGATGGGTCACGGCCTGGGCCATAGACTTTTCAAAATCTTGCTAGTGATTCTAAAGTATCAGCACACAGGATGTTGGAAATAGACCCAGTTTGAAGCTTTGCCCCATATGAGTTGTTACCTTAGTTCAGATACTTCGACTTTGTTACACTTATTGTGAGGATGAGAATAATTTAATGCACTTGGTTTGAATCCTGAACTATAGTAAGCATTCTAAAAGTTTTAGCTACCATTTTGCAGGCAACACTGTTATTCTCCAAGAGCCCCAGGACTATTTAGTACGTCTAAAAACAATTTTAAACAGTTTTGTTTTAAAATTTTATGTGTATGAGTTATTAAGCCCGCATGCATGTGAGTGCATCGGTGTCGTTCAATGCCCCGGAAGTCAGAGGAGGGCTTCGGATTCCCCTAGTTAAGGACGGTTCATAGCCGCCATGTGGGTGCTGGGAATTGAACCTGGGTCCTCTGCAAGAGCAGTCAGTGCTCTTAACTGCTGAGCCATCCCTCCAGCCCCTTAAGTAGGTTTTTAAAAAATATTTTGTTTTTATTCTATGTGTATAAGTGTATTGCCTGCACGTATGTGAGTGCACCCATGTCGTGCAATGCCTCAAAGGTCAGAAGAGAGCTTCGGATTCCCCTGGAACTGGAGTTAAGGACAGTTTGTAGCGGCCATGTGGGTGCTGGGAATCGAACCCGGGTCCTCGAACCCTGGTCCTCTGCAAGAGGACTGCTGAGCCATCTCTCCAGCCCCACAGGTACTGTTTTAAATGACATGAAATACCTGAATTCTTAATTAAAACAGCTTTATCGGAGTTAACCGTGGTGGTGCACACCTTTAATCCCAGTGCTTGGGAGGCAGAGGCAGGTGGATCTATAAGATCAAGGTCATCCCGGTCTACATAGGGAATCCAGGCCATCTGGGGCTACATAAAGACCGTGTCTTAAAACA